AGGGACTCACACCCGACAAGCTCTGGAGCAGGGATCCTACGAGGAACTAAAGACCCTCGGACGATGACGGCCACTTCCCCACCCCTTCCCTGGGGTCGCGGCTGAGAAGATGTCATCTTCTCAGCCGCGAGAAGATGTCATCCAGAAAGACGTGATTCTTTCACATTGGGGTTGAAGTGAATTTCCTAACATGTCCCATTAGGATGAGCCAGAACCACTAATGAAGAGTGTTCCAGGGATGCATCTGTGATTTTTCACTAACATGCTGTTCTCCAGCTGTCCCCTCCACCCATGGGAAGAAGTTCATGCCCTCCAGAAGAGAAGTTGTTTCTCACTGTCATTATTGCCATCTCAGCCTTTGGGACCTTTTCTACTTCTTCTCCAGTGGCTGCCTTTGATGTAAACATCAGACAGAAGCCACATGGAAGAGATCTAGCATCAGAAAAAGATAAATGCTTCTCAGTTAGTGCTTTGTACAAGATTTGGGCAGGCAGGGGGCTATGATGTTAAATGTAATTTTGTTTCCATGCGAAGCTCGGTTCCTCTTTATCTGTATCAGAAAAGCTACTGGCATTTCCCTCTTGTGAGAGTGCTTTGATATATATTTTTTTCCTTGACGTCTTGTGGTTTAGAAATACAGAAGTGGCTGCATCGGCCCAAGAAGGAATGAACCTTATGCTTCTGTTTCTGTTGCTGCTGCTTCTGCTGAGCCGGAAAAATTCTGGGAGGCTCAGAAACAAATGCCCTCCGACTTTGAAGAAGTGGTTTCAAGGAAGCCCACTGAACTATTACAGGCCAGGAGATCATCTCATTAGTGTGGTTGTCACTGCAACAAAAATTTCACAGCAGCTGCTACAATTCAATGACTCTCGTTCTATTTCTTATCATATGTAAGTCATTTGGTGTAACAGAATTGCATTCCGTCTATTTGCATTTCTGGCAGGCTTTCTTCCTTCCATTAATTCCTAAATTGAAGGACATGTGTAAGTTCTTGGATCATCTTGACTTATAAAGCACTCTTCTTTTGTCTAGCCTTGTGCAAAGGGGTCAAATATAAGGATGGGGCAGAAGAAACCCCTGAAAGAACCTGAGACACAGAGACACAGAATTCAAGAAGATCTTCCCTTCCTCTTCCATCCTAAGTTGATCAATTGAAAACTGACTTTTCTTTTATGTAGTTATGGAAAGGGTAGTAGCTGCTTCTGGTGAACGATGATGCCTCATCCTTATAAGAATAGAGGATGACTTTCAGAATTGCTTTTCTGGCTCACTTCTTAATCCATATTCTTGCTTTTATGGTTGTTCTACTTTAACGCATGAATTATTTTATATCCAGGTTATTGGAAGATGATAGATAGATAGATAGATAGATAGATAGATAGATAGATAGATAGATAGATAGATAGA